TTGTTGACGCACACTTCACGCCCTTTATTTCAGAGCAAGAGCTCGTGTAATCAAAATGGCCGGATCGGAATCCCCAGATAGATCAATCCCCAAAGAGAGACAAGAGCACATCCTCTAAACACAACCTGGTTGGCCGTCTCTCCACGAACTACTGGCTCTCACTCTGAGGATGTTCGGGCCACAGACTGGACTACTGCCCAAACCGGCTGAACAAGGGAGCGCACAAATGGGATTCCTTTGTTTTAGAACCAAACGTGCCATTTTCTGATTTAAGAATGCGTCTGATATCATCATGTTACTGAGAAGGCAAATTTCTGATCAAATGTGGCTAATAGCCCCCTATTTCGGCGTGCATCTTTCAAAAGTTGGTTTCAATTCAGGATTCCCAACCCCGTTGTACCTTTGTACACCTCGGAATAAAGAGTTTAACTTGGAATTCGGTTCGTAACTTTTAAAATCGACATCATATGTGAACGAACCGGGCGATACGGAGCCAACAGGTATATTATCCTCGCGCAAAACGATTTAACTTGTTTCATTCTCTGCAAAACAGCAGTGGAATTACACAAAAGAATCTCTTTTTTCGATTGTCTTCTTCAACTGAATGTTCTACCCTCTCATGTTTCAGCGATTACGGGATTCGAGATGTCTCATTACATTACCCGAAAACGTAACGCACTACTCACAAGGTTGCTGAAAACTATTTCAAAGTCACTACCAGTTTCACCCATTATGTACATACCGTCCCAACACGAACACGCATAGCAATCAGGCTATCCAGTTTTCGAATCCTGTAGCTGGCACCAATGACCATCTTGAACACTTAGAGTGAATGGAACATAAAGACAATAATATTTCTACCAGAAGACTACCAAACCGAATTTCATTCGTGTGCTAATCTGAACAATATGCCTTTCCGTACACTCAGAGTCTGCTCATTCTGATGTGGCCTGAATAGAAAAAAACATGTCGTGAGCCTGCGGTACAGAATCCACATTAGTTGAGTCATCCTTCGTTATCTTGTCTAAACGAGTCAGGTGCCACAAAAAACAACATGGTCATCTTGGCGCAACTTGGCGAGTTTTTGTTTGGAAATACAACTGGATGAGTCAGTGGAATAGCTTGATCGACTGCCACGGAATCAGTTTATGCATGATTCGGCAAAAACAGGTAAACAAGTCTTGAAAAACGTATCTGAGTTGGACGTTTTATTCTTCAGTTCAAAGAACGAAGTGCTTAAAACTTTGGGGGGCGGAAAACGCGTTAACTGGAAGTGATTCACGAAGGTTCAGTTATCTCGTTGGGATTTTCAAGGCAAGTTAACCGGGGGACCATTCTCAGGACAGATCATTCCGCACTATAGATCGCTTCTAATTGGGCCAATCTACTATCTGTTAGAGTTACTCACTCAAAAATATGACGACGAACAGTTTTCATGGCACACTTGAGTCTAATTCGCGCTCTGTGACAGGTGTACAACAATGCTCACCGCTCGATTACTGTCTCAGCACCTACCGAATGAAATCTCCATGATGATACCGAAATCTCCGGAGGCCACTCGTCCGTAATAACCGAACATCACATCATCTGGACGGATATGTGACGTGCAGGACACGGACCAAACGAAGGCATGCTCTGATTGGTCAGAATGCCAGCCAATCCGAGTCGAGCATCTCTGACTCGGTGCTTCTCGCCCCCTCATGGAGATTCTGACACGACCTTGTGGAACACTCTGCGATTACCCTATAAATACTGTTGCAATAATTTTCCTAGTCTCCATAACGGGTTGTGTAGGACTACCGTGCTTTTTGATATGTCATCGTGGGCGGAGCAGGAAGCCAAGGGACCGATAGGGTTGCACTACCGTACATCAAGTCACAACACACTATCAACAGTCTATGAGTAGCCGAAAGGAAGAGTAAAATTCACCTGATGAACGAAGCTTCCGGCTGAGGTCGTCACCCGAAGGGTTAGTTAATACGTTGCTCACATGATGTGAACCCGTGACTGAAAGATTGGAGTGCAATGACCTGTCTAATTGCGGGTCAATCAGACTGCTGAACAACCACTCTTAGCCGAACGATGATTGTTCGAACCGCTAGCCGGGGAGCCGCGATTTCGAGTTTGTTGAGACGCGCACTGGTGATGAAGCAAACTCTACTGTGCTTTTCGGTTTTTTCACTACATATTTGCCTCACTAACAGGACAAAATCTTTGTTACTATGTATAGTAGGCTTGTCGATGCACACACGAAAACCAATGTATGTGTGAACAGTTAAATACGGACCTGGGTGTTGGACCACACTCCTTGTATAGCCTAGCTGGGAAGTTTGTAACCGTTTCTGTGTAATATGACATGATGATCAACACAAAAAACTTTCGCCCCGCACTAAACTACGCCAGGCTAGCCCCCGACAACCCTCGGCACTGGAACGGGGTTCGAGAACTACTGCGCGGACCTTTGTTATCTCGGAAGCACAATGTCTGCGAACTTGAACGTCGACCCGGATCTGAAATTCCTTGTGGCCAGGGCTGGCGTATCGCTTCGTAAGCTCGACAAACGGGTGTGAAAGGTCTGCAGTCTGAGAATTGAGACCAAGCTGAACGACCATACAGGGCGATGATTTCATCTGTCCGTGTGGAACTCATAGAAACTCAGACACTTGGGAAGCTTTTACTGACCCAGGCGAATAAATGAGTTTCACTGGACCGAACGAGTAGCGGATACGAAGGTCCTACGATGCCCGCGTTCGACCATATGCGGCGGCTCAATTATGTTTGTCGAAAGAATGGGAACATTCAGCTTCTGAATGTTCAGCTGAACACGGCGCAACGGAACTCTCAAAGACGAAAGCTTCGATATACATGAATACTGTGGTCCAAAGTCTAAAGACCGTTGACGTGGATCACCAATGAAATGGGAAGCGCAAGCACAAAGCAGGAGGCCATGCAGGGGAACGTTATGGATCGGAGTTCATCAGTTCAACAACCCCCAGCTTCGATCCAGAAAGCGGAAGCTCACATGACGCAAGATCATCCTCGAAACTGTCGGAGAGCGGTTGTGTCTTCACTGACCGCATTCGAATTGCTCAGCCACAAGTTTATCAACGATAGCAATGTGATTGTACCAGATAGTTAATCTTGCTACTGTAATAAAGTGGCTTTACGTGGCCCAAACCTATGAAAAAGCCTAAGCAAAGTGATTTACTACGTCCACGATGTTGTTTACATTGACTTCCAGTGATCACCATCGTGTGAACGGAATCAAGTAGGATCACAGCTGATTATCGAAAGCCGTGCAGATGAATTCCGGGTCTGGCTTATTGGTAATGCAATCCTTCGTCATTTCCCAAAGGGAATAGCATCGTTTTCAACTGCCATCCATGTCATAAAAGCCCCGCCTCAACGCCGTGGATATTCTGCGCCGTTAAATCGATAACGGTGTTAGAGGTGAACTTATGTGAACTTCATTGTATTGATCAAGCCGAATAATGGTTCGCACTAGCCTAAGGGGGCAATACATCGTTCGTTAGGGAGAGGATCTGGTTTCTGATTGCCAGTCTGAACGGTGTTTGCCCTTCCAACCTCGAAGCTGTTTTACACACGACGCACTGTATTGTTTTGAAATTTGATTTAATATATCCCGCCGTAGTTACGTGCAAAAGACTCGCACTAGAACTTCAGACGTCGCGGAGCCTCAAGCTTGCAATGGCGCTAGAGGTAACACGGACTATCTGCGTAAACCAAACTGAATAGTTGCTCGCTATGGCTGGCCATTTCTGTGTACCTAGGATGCGTCACCACCTACGGCTTTGGAGTTTCACGACTGCATATGTTCTCTCAAGCACCATGGAGATTCTGGTCCGGGTGACCTCCCACTGGCTGTTGATGATGATGACGATGATGATGATGACGACGACGATGATGATGATGATGATGATGATGATGATGATGATGATGATGATGATGATGATGATGATGATGATGATGATGATGATGATGCGTCCTTATTGAGTGATGGGGCCACCAAATGCCCTTACGCTCTGAGGCTCAACCGGCCAATTGAGCCCACCTGAACTGGCAATTATGGGCCACCGATGGGATGTGTTGGTGGTTTTAGAATTTCCCTCTCCTTTTCAAATTCTGAGGCAGCCAGTCTGATTTCAACCTACATGTCACCAGTCGACGTGACCTCTTCCGTACTCTGCTACTCTATGCTGTGTGCGCTGGGTAGCTGTGCACACTTATAGATCTACTGCCAGATGGGAGTGGCGTGAATCATGATTGGTTATTTGACACGCAATTTTAATAGGATGGTTCGAAAGTCTGTGCTCTGATTGGTCAACGTTGATATGACCTTGTCCTGATCTTGTCCCATGATTAGGCCGTAATTTGAGTGGGATACGACTTTGATTTCTCTGGACTTCCGAAAGTCTCGTGCATTGCTCACGTGACTTTGAGAGGTTCTGAAGCTTGTTATGTGTGCGTGATACAAAACTCCGGTCTCAGTGTTCACTTATTGCGTTTCGATCAAAATGCTCGCAAACCGCATAATTCACTCGCTTGTCTCTCATTTGAGGATAACAGAATTGCGCTAAGTTGGAAGTTCACTCTGGATTGTATGGTTGTCATACAGTTACTTGTAATAATAATAATGATTCGTTCCAACTCAAAGGTAGGCAGATTGGGACCAAGTACCTGAGTTTATTGCATTACGTTTTTTGTAATATTGCACATCGATCTGCTCTATGATATGCTTAAAGCTGACTAGGGATAGAGTAGACATCCCAATCGCCACAAGGTATGATTTATAATGTACTACGCATAAGGTTGCTGAAAATTCGTCGACAGCCCACGACTGGTTTTGCGCTTCTTGGGGCTCATCAGGTAGGCGCAGTCCCCGAGTTTCCATCAGCCTTACGTTCTACTTGGAATCGAATTGCACGAAATTAGCGAAGTACACTCATTTGTGAAAAAACTTGGTTTTGGGAGAAACCCACCTGGAACCCAGCTGAATCTCTCGTTTGTGTTGTATGATTTCGCCCACCGATTTCATTTAGCCGTACCTACATGTGCGTCAACCGTTTTCGACCCAACTACGTTCGGTCGGGTGAGCCTTGGTGATCTAATGTTATGACCTAATGTCCGGAGGCAAGCTGATCCAAGTAACTGAACATCTCTCCGATTGGGCGGATATTATGCGAGCTGGTGGTGTAGCACACGAAGGAACGCACCGATTCGTCCGGATTTGATCAAATCACAAAGGACCGTTTATAACTCGGTGCTTCACTGGCCACTTCACAAAGACTGTAGGCTGACCCTGTTAGCCCAATAAAAGGCTGTCTCAAGCTACCGTTCCTTTTGATAAACCGGATTAGGGACACCGTCCACAAGACACAACACCTAGTCAAAACATCAGTTAAAAGGTAGATACTTTGGACAATACTGACTATGGATGTCATTGATAATCTCACACAAGTCGTGTCCTTAACAAAGCACTAAGCTTGGTCTCCAGCTGTCTGAAAGTGGAGTGGTGGGGGGGGGGACGTGGCAAGCACATGATAACGCGTTTCCGAAAAAAATTTATGAATTCCTTTCGCAACATCAGTGCTTCCAGTTTTTGCGACTGATGTACAAAGAACTCGCTCGTCAGCCCTACTGTCTAGTCCATCATTATGTACGACTAAGGCGACAATTCCGATCCTTCTACCTCTGAATGGCCTCTGATGGCGGTGGGCCATGACAGCTGTGCAGTAGCCAACCAATGGCACGCATCTTACAAAGACGAGAAACTTTCGAATTCGCAACTTCTCGGCTAGTAGTCACACAGAAAGTCGTTCGGCCATCGACAGGGGTCAACGGTGTGATTAATTCCCACTTAGACAGAACAGAGATCATTTGTCAGTTCGAGTGACTAGTTATCACTCGTTGTGTGAATTATTTTCAATTTCGGGCAGCTTATGGTTTACTAAGCGTGTCCGTAGCGACTGAAACATGAGGCGGCCTGATGCAGCACATTCAGTTGCTTGGAAACATCAAAACCGAGAGATTCAGCTGGGTTCCAGGTGAGTCTGTCGCAAAACCAAATTAGTTTGCAAATGAGTGTATTTCGGTAATTTCGTGCAATTAGGATTCAAGTAGAACATAAGGTTGACGGACGTTCGGGGACTGCACCTACCCAAGAAGAGCGAAACCGGTCGTGGGTTGTCGAGGAGTTTTCAGCAACCTTATGAGTAGTGCATTGCAACTAAAGCGTAGTATAAGATTGGAAGCCTGATGGAAGCCTTGAAAGTGCCGGATCGCGAGGGCGAAAAAGGCGATTGATGTGACCTAAAACTATCTATCTGATCCACGGGTTAGAAAACTCCCCTCCTTGGAAATGCGAGCGCATAAAAACCGATAAAAGTTTGGAATAAGTAGGAAAACGACCCAAATTTACCCAAAGCCGAAAGAAGATACTAGAACAACATGCAGGTATTTCTGAACTTCCTTCAAGCCCACATATCTGAAAGAGATGTTTCCAACCGCACAGTCTGCTGTTCCTATCTGTTTAAATTACTGAACACAAAATTAATGAACCGACAAATAAAAAACGACTGATCCTAACAGATCACACCCAAAAAAACAAAAGGTGCAGCTGTGGAAGTCCCCAGCCAGATTAGCTTTGGGGCACTCCAAATAGTCTGTTTGTAAATTACACAGAAACTTTGTGAATCAGGAGCTTTGTTTTTATATTAGATATCTTGGATTTTCATCGATTCGTCCTCTGTCATTCGAAATGTGTGATAATCGATCCAAAAGATGACGAAAGGCACATAGACCAACACCATCATGATAAGAAACGCAATGTATGGAGTATCAACAAGCGACGCACAAATGAAAGGACCGGCGGAAAATCCCAAATTCTGCACAGTTCGGAATATGGTCTGACCTCGTTCCACATCTGCTCTGGGGACGAGTTTGGTGTACAGCGATTCGGAACTGGCAGCCGCCAACGGCACACCAATCACGTGAAGAGCCACTGCAAACAGAATAAATGGTATCCCAATCGACTTGTCCGGGGTGGGTTTGTGTGCCAAGTGGCAAGACAAAGCCAGGTAGGCGAAAAACAACAAAGACAGACCGACAGCGAGAACTTTGCGATCCCGTATGCATTGGGTGATACACTGATAGATGAGAAATGTGACAATGACAGCACCGCCTGCGATTAGATAGACAATACTCACTTCGATCTCAGTCCACTGATATAACTGTTCAGTCACTGGAGGTAGAACAGCCTCCAAGCCCATGACACAATAGTAGATGAAGAATGTGATTCCAAAAAGTGCAATGAGGCTCAGGTTGAAGTAAGGTAAGTAAGGCAGACACTGGGGATCTCTGGCACAGCAGGGAGAACAGTTTGCGTTGTGCTCAGGTTCCCATGTGCCTGGTGGTTGCTTGGACGGGGGGAGTTGATCAGTCACCGCTTTCCTCATTCTTGGCTCACGTGGAACGTAGAATATCCGCTGTAGTCGTCTGGCAAGTGTTGGCTGAGGGTCAGCTGTTTGCGTCGGATTGATTGTGCGTTCCATATCTGGATAAGCAAGAAGTGTTAGAATACAGTGAACTCCCCACAGCGAAGCCATCAACAATCCGGGGACGTTGTAAACGTTGATCCTGAAGTTCCCCACATTCACATCCAGACGATGAACAATCAGCGTGAACGTGGGTCCAAACAGTAGGCCAGCTTGTCGCGGCAAGAGCAATTACATTACGTAGAAAGTTCTTTCCCTTTCGTTGGTCAACTTGACCATATCAGAATAAAGCGGCGAGTCACAACAAGCTCCAAGACCAGAGATTAATCTACCGAATAGCAAAGCCCATGGACTGCGCCCAACCAAATACATAATATTTCCCAGAATTTCCAGTTGGTTTGAAACAATCAGGATTATCTGCGTACGAACTCCCTTGTAGGTAGCGTAACCGACAAGTGGAGTGAAAACTAGGATGGCAAGGCAGAATACTGCGACAGTGGCAGCGTAGAATTTTTTGGCAGCAGCCTCATCCCATTCGGTTTTTAGGTAGAGCCAAAGACTAGGCATAATGATTGCACGCTCCACGTTGGTCAGAAATCCCCATGTGGTTGCAACGAAAACTTGTAGACTTTTTGGCGAGCAGGCCGATTTAAGACAGTTGGATTCACGAACTTTGTCTGGTTCGTTTATCGGAAACATTTTGACAGATTGCACGTTGTTATGTATGCATAAGCTATAGTTGTGGTTTGAAGATAGACGTTTACTTCTGATTGCTGCTTCTTGTGACTCCGGTCATGTTCCCCGTGGACCAATCATTTTTGGGCTGCTGACTTGTGATTGGTCCGTTCGTTCAGCGAACCGGCAATCCAGACCAAGTGTCAAGTAAAAGGCACGGCTGAACATCGAAGATGTGAGATATGAGTTCTTGGGATTTTGAAAGGCTTTCGTCAAATAATAATAATGAGGATAATAATAATAATAGTTCAGCCGTCACACCTTTTCTACTCCCAGCTGCCAAACAACCGAAAGAAGCATGGGAGCTGAGTTACTGCCGGTCGCCCAAGCCTAGACAGGAGATGCCGAGGTTGAATTCAAACCATGGTCGGTAAGTTCGCTCCGATTTATCTCAAGTCCGGAGTTTCCACTATAAGGACAAGTACCAAGTTCCGGAATCAACTGGCTCACAAGAATCAAACTTACTGTAAGCCCTCTGGTTGATAAGCGTTGCTTTTTGAGGCCGTCTGTAGCAGTAATCCTCTCCATTATGGACATCTATCCCGTTGCAAGTCTACAGAGCCTATTCCTGGATGAATATTTGCTTCAATGATGGAATGAATTTGCAAACTGCTCTGAAAAGACTAGAATTGCTGCACAGCTGTTTTATTTTTGGTGGGGGTCATCAGCAGTGTTCACCACACGAATCTCTGGGGTAATCAAACCGCGAGTAACCAGCTAGTAGCTGAAGACCGTACCATTTGGTGGCTGATCAGCAACGCGAATGATTCATGCTCAGTTTCAAATCAGGTAATTCACTTCAAGTGGTCTTTTGTTATTAGACTCATTGGGTGATGTATGCAAGCTGTGAGCAGAGTACTGATAATTTGGTCCCTTTGTGATGCGATTTTGAAATATCGATTCAGTTTCATCTGCCTTGGGTCAGAAAATATCTCACAACTGTGTATAATTTCCATCTGAGAAGTGATCATTCGAAGGAACAGTCGTTACCTGGCCACGTGATATGAANTGATCATTCGAAGGGACAGTCGTTACCTGGCCACGTGATATGAACTTAAGCATTGAAGGCGGAGTGCCCCTATGACTGTATGAGTATAGGTCAATCGCACTGCTGGTCAGTCTTTTGTGGCCTGACGATGTGACCTTCAACTACCAGCGTGGAGGTAGCAGGCTCGAATCTCTCCAGCGATACGCTATCCCTTCATGAACGAAGCGTCCATACAGTGCTTTGGAGCTTTTCAGCATATATTTGTTCCACTTGCATATACAACCTCGGCTCTTATGCTATCTGGGTTGCATGAAATGTACGCTTCTCAAGCGAAAATGTCTAAAATACTGCAGACCAACGTTTAATGAGCAAACCAGAGGAGATTGGTTTGAGGCATCTGAGAAAATAAGGTCGGCAGACAGACAAACACCACCTGTTCTTGAGCATGCATAGCGGACTCATAGATCAGTAGCTGATATCCGGCTCAGAATAGTCAGCCTGACAAATGTGTATTGTCGATCAGCCGGAGATGGTTTGTGCGGAGCCAAATGTAGTGCTGTTTTAACACATTTTAGGATATCGACCCCTAGTTTGTTGTGGAACACAGTTTTCCTAATGCCTTC